AAAGAGAATTATATATAGATATATAATTTTTGAAAGCCAAATAATTCGGTATAATTAATATAAATCCGTTTAAAATGTGCTTAAAAGTATGCTTTAAAAAATCCTCTTTGGGAAACTTGTGGATTAAAATGTAGTGTTTTGTTGCATACTTTTAAGTGGTTTTAAAACCCTATTAAAATCTGTGGCATTCTAGAGAGATTTAAAAATTGTATAAGTCGCTCTTGGTATACTCACACTGAATTTATAACCAAATTGATTAACATTTTATAAGTTTTTTTCCGTGTGCATGCATACTTTAAAGGGTCAGGCCTGTTTGCTTTCTTTGCCAGTGAGTTTAACGTTTGCTTAAACCTTAAAAATTCATTTCATATCTTTGGTAAATTGAATATCGCCAGATGTAAACCCCTATTCAACAGAGCCGCTGGCAATGGCCTCTCAATTGCCAGCAAAGTTACACAAACACACCGACCCCTGAATGCGAGTATACTTGCTCGCAAACTAACACATTAGGCGGCGTTTCCTTTGCCAAAGTTGGTTGACTTCGTTTCTGGGACTGCTTTTTGGGGCCGACAAAACGGAGACGACAACAGCAGCAACAACATCATCAACAACAAACAAATAAACTGACAGACACTCGTTTCCGTTTTCAAACAAAACAGACGCCATATTTAAAATTCCAAACGGGGCACCCCGGCAATATAAGCAGGCAAACAAATGAAATAACACAAAATTGCCGTTTGCTAAAAACTTTTGCTTTGCTTATTTCCAAGTTTTTTTTTTATTTATTCATCCCCATTCGGAATCCTGTTTTTTTTGGATTTTGTAGCTGTTGGCTGGCTGCTGCCAAAACAAAGAATTCAATTTAGTGGGTCGTACGTTGATGTGGACAGGTTCATTGAACGCGATTTTGGATTCCCTCGAATGAGCATAAATTTTCACGCTTTTCCCGAGACTTGAACTAATTGTGAAAGTATGCCAAATGCGTTGAGAGAGCGACTCAATGGAATTCGCCAGCGAAAATCGAGCATCCGCTCAAAAGATGACAGCATTTCGGATTTTTCGACATTTATCATCATAGCCTGCGAAAGCAGCCCCAAAAACTTGCTGACCGGTGGTCGTGACTTCCGTGCACCAGAAATGAAATGAAAGATTTATTCCAGATTCGCATGACGAGATAGTGTGTTGTGGCAACATCCACAGAAAAGCACAACAGCCGTGGCACAAAAGACACGTAGGCCAATAAAAATGCCATCCTCGTCTGTTGTTAAACTCCGCCAGCCGAAGTTGTATATTATGCTAAAATGATTTGTGTGGCCAAATTGCTGTTCAGACGTTGCACTAATTTCATGAGGAATGCATGGGGAAAACAATCAATAAGAGATAAGGAGTTGCTTTGATGTAAATACAGAGGAAACTCCATAGTTCCAGAACTTTTACAGCTGCTAGGGCTTCCTAAAACAGAATTGGTAATATATCTCTTAAATGATTCTTAAAAATGGGCTTTCCAGAAGTGGATTTTTATTTCCGGTTTTAAAATTCTACTTGTTGAAATCCTTTTAGTACAAAAATTGTGTGCTAAAAGTATTTAAACAACATAATATAATGGGTTTATAGAACTTCAAATACATTTTTTTATAATATACGTTCATCGGGATTTTTCTAATATTAAACGAAAGAAGTCACCCCATTTTTATCTTTTAAGTTTTAAACAATATAATAAAATGGACTTACAGGATTTAAAATATATCTCGAAATGAAACATGTTCACCGTGGATTTGACCTGCAATAAAGAGTAAAAACTTGTGGGACTATATTTCAAAGAGTGCCTAGAAAAGGGGTGATGGAGTTTAAAAAAAACTCTTCCATCAAAGCATTAGAAAAATCTATAAAATCGCTGGGCCCATCAGGAAGCCACCCATACATGCCAATAAAATATTTTATCAAACGTACGTGCTGCTATTAGTCTCCCAGTTGCCACAACCCCCGATTTCCCGAACTCCCCAACTTGCCCCGTCACATGTACGCATATCAAATGACTGCGTTGATGTGTTGAAAGCCCGGGAAAGACGGGAGTTGAGATCGGGTGAACGGATGTGCGGGCGGTCAACCCTTTTTTACGGCTGGTCAGTGGAGCACCCGGGCACCCAGGCACTCCGACATTCCGGCACTCCGGTTCTGGTCTCTGATTATGCGTCGTGCGGCCATAAATTTATATTGAAAGACGTGCGCTGTTAATCAAATTAAAGTGTTTGATTAAATTTTAAATAAAACTCTCATTTTCCACGCTGCTGCTGCAGCAGTAAAAAACTGAAAAATGAATATAAAAATAATAATGGGGAATGGAAATTAATTTAAGAACACATGGCGTATGAGCTATAATCAATTTATGAATTATGCGCAAGATTATTAATTAAATTCTGTTGCTTTAGGGCGAACGATAGAGTTTTTAAAGGATAACCCATTTAAGGCCCCATTGCTAAAGAGAATTTCGAAAACGTGTCGCAAACTACGTAGATATTCGAAGACTCGACTCCTTTGGCTCAAGTGCTGAAGCACTTTAAAGCGCTTAACGGGCCAACTGAAGTTAAATAACAATTTCACTGCTCATTAACCCTAATTTGTATGTAAATTTTTCGGGTTCCCCGGTTGGCCCTTTTTTCCCGGACCCGGGCCCACGGGTATTGCAACGGGGCGCCCCGTTTTAAAGGCGAACTCTTTGCCATTTTGTAGGTTTTAAGTAACGCACATGACACGGAACGCAGCGAGTTACTATAGCTACTATGGGTATGAGGGCCACCATTATGGAGCATTCGCTGCCGGTTTCTTCAAGTTGCAAATAGTGCGGGCATACAGAGGGCAGGAAGCGAGAATGAGTTGGTTTTTGGAGCTGGCCTGGCCAAAACGAGCATAAGAGATGGCCAGAGATAGCCGGGAAAATGAAGCGAAAAAAAAGAGGGGGGGGGGCAAAAGGGAAAAGGCGTGGAAGATTGTTTGTCTGCTGCCCTCATTCCCGCTTTCCCGCCATGCAACCCAGCTCCATCTTCCATTAATTCATCCGCCATGGTGGCCAAACAATAGGCCCGACATTCCACGTTGGCCACATTTGGTGGCTGGTGCCGAAAATGTTTCATTTTACCCTTTTTTCTCAAAATTGGTCTATTCTATCCATTTTTTACTACTCAGTGGGTAAAAAAATTGTTAGTGATGCCAGGAACATAAACTACTTGCAAAAAGAATTTTTTCAAAAAATTGAGTCCGAGCGAATCATTAGACCTTTTTTTCTAAAACAATGCAAAATCAATATTAAAGAAAAATGCATTAAGCATTTTTTATACAGTTTTTGGGCACTGTCACATATTTTAAACATTTATTCTTTAATTGCTTAAATAAATAAATTATGATATTTTAAATGATTTTGCATTATATTTTAATACAGATGATGTGTTCTACAATTATTTCATATTTCTTATGAAAAAATCTTAGATCACTTGGGCACCTGCAAGCCATTTAATCAATTAATTTGGTTTTTAAATTAAAAATGGAGCTCTCTCCGAAATTGGCACACATTTCGGCACTTGAATTTTTCAACTTTTGGGCACCCTTTTTTTTGGTACACTTTTTCTGGTAAGACTTTTCGTTTACCAATTTCGCATCCAAGTGGCAACCGGGCACTGGTTTTTTTCCTGGCCAGAAATGGACTTTCAGCAGTCATTATCGGGATGTTATTGTTGCTCCGCCAACCGGGCAGCCAGGCAGCAACAATTGCGAGGGACCGGCTGACCGGGCGGAGTGCATTAAAACCAAAGTGAGTGCATGTGAATGTGAGTATGAATGTGAGTGTGCAGACACTCCAATCGCCTCGCAAGGACATTCGCAAAACTGGACTCCCCAAGTGGAAAACCCGCCAACTGGCAAACGGCAAACAGGCAAACAAGAAATGACAGCAATGCAGCCTTGTGCCATGCAAATTCAATAAATTACGGCAACGACCATTAATTATATTTTAAATTGCAATGTCCACACTGGCACACTCGTGGGAAAGTTTTGCTTTTGTTTCGCGGCCCCCCCTTTTTTTAGCAATGGCAGTGGAAAAAGTTCCATTCCACTCATTCAGCGGGCAAATTGTCGCAGTTTATCTCCACTGCACGCATCGAAAACAAAATGTTGCTGCCATAGTGCCACGCCCCCTTTAGGCCGCACTCGCCCGCCGCCCATTTGTGTTGCCAATGAATGCGCCGCAACAAATAAACCACTTTTGGCCATTCCCTGGCATAAAAGATAAATAAATGCGGAAAAGAAAAGGAGAATGAAACAAGAGGAAAAACAATGGAACTCCAGATGCAACTTCAACTTTTGCCTTTCGGATGGGTCAGTACTACCCCGGTACTACAGTAGTACTGCCCCTTTGGCGACCCCCTGCCCATCCTTAAACCATTATTATCGCCCGGCGTAAACAATTCTCGAGTCGGGCCTGTTGACACTGGCAGCATGTCATTAAGGGCCACGTCAGTAGCCAACCGCTGACGTGTTAACTGCAGCGCGTCCAACTTTTAATTGGTTTTAAGTCACAAGTTAATTTCCATAAAGCCAGGGGAAAGCGCTGAAAAAATCCCGGCGACAAAAGAACACGGAGGAAAATAAAATGAGTCATAAATGTGGTAAATAAAATTCGATCTTAATATTGATTTAATACACTTAAAAGCGATAGTGTTCTTATAAAAAGACAAAATGTCACAGAGATATGTGCGGTGGTATTTAAGTATACGATGATATGATATGCTATGAAATGGTATGATATGATATGACAATATGAAATAATGATATGATATGATAAACTCATATGATGATATTATATAATGCTATTAAATGATGTATGATATGATGATATCATATAATGACAAGATAAGATAAGATGATATTTGATCCATACTGTATGGTATGACTAAATTGATGGTAAGACATAATACATAATATATTATTAATATTTTATATATTTTTATTATTTCAATATTATTAAATAATGTTATAATTCCTTTTGTACAGTGTCCTATTTCTTGGGCTTGCCTCGTTTGCCGCGCTTGGGCTTCTTCTTAAACGGTCCCAGACCGCGCCTCACCATGGTGCCCCGCCACCAGGCCTGAAGTCTGACGGCGCACTCGATGCGGTGGATCTGGAGGTTCAGCAGACGCTGCTCCTCCTCCTTTTGGGCTCGATACTCCTGGACATAGGTCATCCGTTCCTCGAAGATCTCGCGATGGCGCTGCAATAGCTTCTTCTGCTCGAGGATGCGCAGCTCCCAGGCTTCCGCCTCGCGATCCACCCGTCGCATTTCGCTGACGTAGCGCTCCTGCCACTCCTTAATCCTGGCCTGCAATTTCATGATTTCCCGCTGGCGAAAGGAGCGCAGTTCGGCACTCACCCGCTCCTCACGCGCCAGCTTTTGCCGGATGTCCAAAATATCCCTTAAATAGGCCCGCTCTGCATTCTCACCCCAAATGGTTCCCTGGGCCAGACGACCCTCCTCCCAGCGTTGCACCAAGCTGTACTCGAGGTCATTGACCCGCGAGACACAGCGCAGTTTGTACTTGGTATCGGCTATGCGGTCCTCCAGATTCTGTAACTTGTCTTTGGTCACCCGCTTCTCGGTTTCCAGGTCTTCTTTAAGTTTTTTTAGTTCATCCTTGGATTCTTGCAGCTGTTGTGCAGCCTGGGACTCCTCGCTTTTGTTGCCACCCAAGGCAGCAATGGCTCTCTTGAGATTCTCCAGACCCTCATCCTCCTGGGACGTTGTTTCCCCTTCTTCAATTTCTAGGGTTTCCATATCTCTGCTCCCTTCCTTAACAACCGGCTTAATATCTTGTAATTGTTCAGTTTCAAAGGGACTTTGCCTTTCTTTAATTTGCAGATTCATGATTTTCATATCATCACACTCTTCATAAGGTATTTCTTTACTTGCCCCTTCCAATTGTTCCTGTGGATTTTCCGGGGCTAACTCCTCTTCTAAATCCTCATCTAGATCCTTAACCTCTTCTGTGTTCTTCTCTGCCAATTCGGGATCATTCATGGCCACTTCAAAGATCATTCTAAGGGCATCCATATCCCTTTCGAATTTCAGGGCATTCAAAACATCCTCATCCAGCAGATCGGCATCGTTCTCAGGTTCCCCCAGCAGGGATTCCAATCTGGGAAGAACCTTTCCGGTAATAAGGATACGTTCTGGTTTTTCCTGCTCCCCCATGGACGAACTGCGTCGTCTTTGAAGAGAAGCAGGCAGCATAAGAGGTTTCCTGGCATTTAAACGTTGAGAACGCTGCTGCAAAATCAGTTGATTCAAGGTGTTCTTATAGACGGTCAGCAACAGGATGCGCCGCAGTTCCAGCAATTGCTTTTCCGTGTGTCCTTGCGACATTGCAACTACCAAAGACACATACCAAAATGTGTTAGCCAGAGACAATAGTTAAAGGCCAATCCCTAGAGTTCACCCCGGGCAACTGTTGCTAGGATGTGCTGGAGTTTATAAATGTTTTTGGCTTTTGGGTATGAACTCGGATTTTTGCCATCCCAAGCCCACACTGGTTTTTAACTTCTGACTCATGTACGCCTTATGCGCCTTGGAAAAATGCTTGGGTTCAGGACCTGGCTTGCATATTTCATTGCTGTCATCGTCCTCGTGGCTTACGTGCGAAAATGCCCAACTGACTGCGTCGGACCCCTTATTGCACAGAAATCGTTGAATTTATTTGCCATCCTCGTGCTCCTTGGAGTCCTTTTCCTCCTCCTCCTTCTTCATTCCCTTTCCATTTTTCCCTTTCGCTGCGCATCTGTATCTGTAAATGTATCTGTGGCCGCGTATCCTTGGGGTTCATTCACTCCTTGGGCCATGCAAGTATGCGTCTTCGCCATGGGCGCTTGGCTTATATGTTTAACCCAATAAATGCCGCGCTGATTGCAAGTTAAATTATTGGCGCGCAGAACTCCAGACCCGCATTACAATTAAATTATCGCATTAACCGCAAAACCTGCACGCCGCCTGCTCTTCGACTCCGTTCACTCGGCCATTTGCCCAGCATGCCCGCAGCGACAGGGTTTAAAAATAAAATAAGTACATGGACCTCTTTGGCATTAAAAGATGAGGTAGTGCCAGCTCGATTACCCTGGGTTGTAGGTATACAATTATGCAGGAGTTTGTCTGCGGAAAAAATACTAACTCAAATTTAGCAGACATTTTAAATAGGTATTAAAAATAAATCTTTAAATATATTCATAATTGATTTAAAATAATAATGATAAACAAAATAATACATAAACAAAGAGGGCTTAGAAATCACTTTTCAATTTTATTTTTAGGTGTCTAAAAGTATGCAACGAATAAAGGATAGTAGTCTTTCTGAAGGAATTAACTATATTTATTAGTTAAAAATATAATGCTGCATACTTTTAGACAGCTAAAAAATAAAATGTACAAGTGATTTCAAAACCCTAGTTGTTTGGCTTTTCATTTTACACAGATGATTTTCTTTTTATAGAATGCATAACTGATAATCTTGTTTTGACAAAACAGCAAACTTTGCATGGGTCTCATACGACCCCTCATTAAATAGATACTCCAAAAGGCCAAATAGCCTCGATCTCTTGCGAGGGTAATAGAGCGCTTTAAAGGCAAACCGCCGAAAGTGGTCAATGCACCGGGCTACAATGTCTGGCGACCAGGCCGTAGTGAAAAATGGCAGGGCGGACATTAAATTAATGCCCGCCGATGTCTCGCGCACACACACGCAGAGATAGAGATAGCGAAAGAGATGGCAATACTCGGGGGAAAAGAGACGGCATGACTGTTGCGAAAAAGAGACGGGGAGGCAAAACGCACACATGGGGGGGGTCAGAGCAGCAAGCAGTTCGCACTTGGCCGGCTCTTCTGCTTTCAGCTGCCATTATTTTTAATAGACTCGAAAAGAAAAAGTTTTCAGTTTTCTACTTCATTGACTGCAAATCGGCGAAAGAAGCTCTCCGGGTCGCGCATTGCCGCCATTCCCATTCCCATTCGCCGACTTTTGAGGACGTTAAGGACGTTAAGGATGCCAGCCAAAATTAAGTGCCCCCAAAAAAGTACGCTGTGCACCGCCTGATAAGCACTCACATACACACACTTTGCACAACTGCAGCGTAAAGTCAAACACATAAATCGCCCACGCTCGCCACAAGCGAGAATTTTCCAGCTCAAAAAAAATATCAATTTCCATTTAGGACCCTCTTTTTGTACGAGTATCCCCCCTCGCTCTATTCCAATGCAAATGTTCGATTATGACAAGCTTCCCATTGATATCCTTGCGCGCACTCAGCCAAAATCCAATCGAAGATATTACTAGGGTGCCAGGACATGCCAAGTCATCCTGCTATTAATAACTTCAAGGCCCTGTCGCAAATTGTTCGGGCTATATAATAAATATGCAAATATTAGTCGGGAAAACAGGTCCTCAAGTTCGCCAGTTTGCATTTGTCCAAGGCCATGTTTGTCACTTTTTCAAAGAAAAGGCAGTCAAGCAGAAAAATTAAATTGTTTAAGGGTAGAAACTTAGTTACTCATTCAGGATTATATGTTTTTCAAAATAAAAATCATTGTCTTTTTACTTTAAAAAAATATATTCTTATGATGAACACTATCACTTAAGAGTTACATGTATATTCTCTTAAATATTCCAAAAAAAAAAGATCGTTTGATAAAAATATTATTAAATCGTATACGTTTTAACCTGATTTATAATATTTCTTTTATCTTTTTTATATTAAATCATTTTGCTGAGTATCTCAAATCCGCTACGTCTTAGCAAGTTTATTACCTTCTTTTTTTCTTTTCAAAAATGCACTTGCAGAATTTTCAGCCAAGAATGTCGCGAATTTCAGTTACCAGAATTGGTAGCGACAAGGAGAAATTGTCCGTGGTTCTGGTCGCTTGGCAACAAGTTCATTTTACCTTTTAAAAAGCTCAAGGAAGGCGTTTGGTGGGGTTGAAGATGAAGTTTATAGCAGAAAACATTTAAATTTATGAATACCCTTCAAAAGGCTCTTTACTTACTTTAAACTGTATTAAGAGGAGAAAAAGTTTATTTAAATCTATCACCCCCCTTGAAACAGAGCCCCTGCATTTTAACACTCATGCTCTTGCCCGCTGACCCATCAGCATTCTGTGTCCTGAAACGAGGAACCACGGAGATAACCTGCCGCACATATGACAGGATCCCGCCCTCCGGCCGTTTGTTATCCCCTACATGTAAATAACCAAAAATTTTATATTGCGGCCCGCAACCACGACACCGTGACAACGCTGGCATATAGCACACGGCCATATACTATACATGTGCCACATGGAGGAGCCAAGCCAGGACGAGCGAAGCCAATGCCAAAGCCAGGAGCAAGTCAAGCAGGACACGGAGTTGCTGTGGCTTCGCTGGCCCTGGCAGGAGCAGGAGCACGGGAGTGGTCACTGCTGACGCTGGGAACGCTGATGATGGCAGCCAGGACATGCAGGACATACGGCACTCGCAGGACACACAGGACACCGTGGTGAGCGTGTGAATATGTCAGCGTGTGCGAGAGGTCCTGTGCTGTTGTCTGCGGCCGGGGGAGTGATAGACGCCACTACCATTAATTCACATTCAGGTGCCGCACGCTTGGACGAGCACAAGGGGTAGGGTCTGCACTGAGAAAAATCATTTCAAGTAAAATTTTAATGTAAAATGTAAAGTTTTGAACATGGCATCTAGAAGTGCCGTTTTGGGTTACCGTTCCGAAAGCCATTGGAGTTACGGAAAAATAGAACATGAAAATGGGTTATAACTTTGTACCTGTTAAAAAATTTTAATGTAGATTGTTAGAGAATTCAACCACAAATTCATAGAGGTATCCCACGTCCAAATCGGAATCCAATTACTAAAGATATGGAATCTGGAATTTCAGCTTTAGGGTATTGTTCTAAAACCCATTGGAAATAAGAAAATATCAAACATGAAAGTGGGTTAAAATTTGGACCATTTTTTAAGATAAATATTTAAATGTAGATTATTAGGGAATTCAACCACAAATTCAAAGAGGTATCACACGTCCAAATCGGAATCCAATTACTAATGTTATGAAATCTGGAAGTTGAGTTTTGGAGTATCGTTCTAGAACCCATTTGAAATTGGGAAAATTCGAACATGAAAATGGGTTAAAAGTTGGACCATCTTTTAATAGAAATATTTAAATGCAGATTATTAGAGAATTAAATCACAAATTCATAGAGGTATCCCACGTTCAAATCGGAATCCAATTACTAGAGTTATGGAATCTGGAAGTTGAATTTTGGGGTATTCTTTTAAAACCCATTGGAAATAAGAAAATATCCAATATGAAAATGTGTTAAAATTTGCACTATCTCTTAAGATAAATATTTAAATGCAGATTATTAGAGAAATGAACCACAAATTCATAGAGGTATCCCACGTTCAAATCGGAATCCAATTACTAGAGTTATGGAATCTGGAAGTTGAATTTTGGGGTATTCTTCTAAAACCCATTGGAAATAAGAAAATATCCAACATGAAAATGGGTTAAAATTTGGACCATCTTTTGAGATAAATATTTAAATGCACATTATTAGAGATTTCAACCACAAATTTATAGAGGTATCCCACGTCTAAATCGGGATCCAATTACTAAAGTTATGGAATCTGGAAGTTGAGTTTTGGGCTATTCTTCTAAAACCCCTTAGAAATAAGAAAATATCCAACATGAAAATGGGCTAAAACTTGGATCATTTTTTAAGATGAATATTTAAATGCAGATTATTAGAGAATTCAACCACAAATTCGTTGAGGTATCCCACGTCCAAATCGGGCTCCAATTACTAAAGCTATGGAATCTGGCAGATGAGTTTTGGGGTATCGTTCTAAAACCCATTCGAAATATTGAAAATTCGAACATGAAAATGGGTTAAAAATTGGACCATCTTTTAAAAGATATATTTAAATGCAGATTATTAGAGAATTAAATCACAAATTCATAGAGGTATCCCACGTTCAAATCGGAATCCAATTGCTAAAGTTATGGAATCTGGAATTTCAGTTTTGGGGTATCCTTCTAAAACCCATTTGTAATAGGGAAAATTCGAACATGAAAATGGGTTAAAAATTGGACCATCTTATAGGAGAAATATTTAAATGTAGATTATTAGAGAATTCAACCACAAACTCATAGAGGTATCTCACGTGCAAATCGGGATCCAATTACTAAAGTTATGGAATCTGGAAGTGGAGATTTTGGGTATCGTTCTAAAACCCATCGAAAATAACGCACATGAAAATGGGTTAAAAATTGGACCATCTTATGGATAAATATTTAAATGTAGATTATTTGAGAATTCAACCACAAACTCATTGAGGTATCCCACGTCCAAATCGGAATCTAATTACTAAAGTTATGGAATCTGGAAATCCAGTTTTGGGGTATCGTTCTAGAGCCCATCAGAAATAACAAAAAATCGCACATGAAAATGGGTTAAAATTTGGACTATCTAATAAGAGAGATATTTAAATGTAGACTATTAGAGAATTTAACCAAAAATTCATAGAGGTATCCCACGTCCAAATCGGGATCCAGTTACTAAAGTTATGGAATCTGGAAGTCCAGTTTTGGGGTATAGTTATAAAACCCATTGGAATTAACGAAAAATCGAACATGAAAATGGGTTTAAAATTGGACTATCTAATAAGAAAAATATTTAAATGTAGATTATTAGAGAATTCAATTACAAATTCGTAGAGGTATACCACGTCCAAATCGGGATCCAAGAACTCTAGTTATGAAACACCAAAAATACAATTACTTTGAACTTACTATTGCTATTTTTCCTCAGTGTAGCACGGGTGCGAGTGTGCGACAACAACATGTGTTTACACTCATCAGAACAGGAATGGAAGAAGCTGGGCCCACTCGTGCAGGCAAATCCCGTGCAATGCATTATAAATGGCTGGGCCGTGCGGGTCCGGTGACCCCAGACGACTCTACACGATTTTTGGGCCCACTGAAAACCGAAGCCAAGAGCAGAGCACAAAACTGGACGGAGTTCAAAAAGAAGTGACCCACTTGCCGGTCGTGTAATTAGTATACCACACAGGGCACGACAAAATGGAAGAAAAAAACAACAAC